AGAACCTCTGTCAGCCTTGTATTACTGTCTTTGTGGGGAGATTTACTCTCACCTCCTGTTAGGGACTGGATGTTATGGGAAATCTCTCTAAAGCAGACAACAACATAGACACTTTTTTTCTAGTTGGGTGGGGAAGTGCTATAACCTTCTCTGTATTCCTAGACCCATAATTTGTTATCTGGGTGTCAAAGGGACAATCTCCAAAACAGGGTCAGCTGGAGAAATAAAAATGTCCCCACTCTATCCAAAATGAAAAAAAAAAAATTGTTTAGGCTGAAGTTGGGCTTTAATTAAATGTCATTATTATTGAGATGTTTTTATACACCCATGAGCAGAAGTTCGTCATCTTTGTTCTGAGCAGGCTACGCATATTGACTTTACTATTTCTTAGAAGACCTGTCCAAATCATTATTTTTTAGTGCGCTCGTTCCATAGCTCCAGAAGCCGCTGGCACCCAGCGAGGGATGTTTTGTAAAGGTGTAAGGCACCATTCCAGTTCCTTGACAATTCCATTCCCTCTTGAGACACAATATCACTTAGGCCCTTCACAACAATAAAAAGACAGCTTACTGGAAAAATGATGCAGGGGAATGAATTCTGCTGGGAAATAACGAGTGCCAGGCTTGGTGGGCAGAATGAGAGACGTGAATGGAACATTGCTCGGGCATGAGATCAGACTGACGACAGCAGGTCTGTAAGTGCTACAAGTGCAAAACCTGATTCTGTCTTGGCATCACCTGCCAAGGAACAGGAGGAGGGGCAGGACCTGAGGGGGTGATTTAGGCAAGGTGAATACAGTGATACGTTGAAAAGACGTTTGGCATTTAGTCTTTTTGTGTGTTTTTTACTCCTTCCTGTAACTTCACATTTCTTTAACTGTTCTGAATTTTTATGATACGTTACGATTGCGTGACTCTGAAAAGAAGCATTTGCTTGCTGTAAGGCGCATTAACACGTTCAGTGCCGGGGGAACCTAAAAAAGCTTAAGCAGATGTCTATGATGATGTAGAGCAAGGCTGAAATCCCTAAACTGATTGGTGTTTCAAAATTTCTGTAAAAACACTTTTGTAATGAAATGTAACAAAAGCAAAGTTCCAACAACAGCAAAACCTCCAAAATTTCCAAGTCACACTCTTTGGATCATTGCGAGCTGACATTTCCTGCCCACAGGAGACTATATGGGAGTTTATAAATAATGACGAAAGGTGATGAAATGTTTTCTACACAGGAAGGCCAGAGAGTCAGGATGGAGCTTGCTATTACTAAGAAAAATTAACAAAAAAAATATAAAACGGGGGTGTTTTAAACTCCACCCCCTCATAACTTAATTAGACTTGTTACACCCACAAACATTCCCCTAATTTTTAACTCCTCCCTCTTTTCTTAAAAAAAAAAAGATAATGCTGTTATCTTCTTGAAAAAAAGTGTTGGCCCCAATAAATGATTTGTAATCCCAATCACTAAAATCTCAAATAAGCATACATGTTAATTTTCAATATTTCCAAAGTTGGTTCCTTCACTCTTCTCCAATGCATTTAACCAATACAACTTTCTACTTTCTAACCAATACAAATTCTATCTGGATTTCAGTTTTAAAGTGGTGTTAAAGAAGTTTTTCACTGAAAGCATAAAAACTACTATGGCGGGATATCTTGCTGTTAATGTATCCAATGTATATAAGATCAGGGCAGACTTAGGTCCCTATAATCAAATTATCACTTCTGAATGCTATAACCATATTTATATATGAGATGAGCAACACATTACTCTTACAATTATGACTTGTTGAATACATCAGCTCATGCTTGAGATGGTCACTAGATGAGTTTGTGAGTTGGTGTGATTGATGTACCAAAGGAGTAGAGATTGTTCACTTTGTAAAGAGAATGCTTAATATTTAAAGAGAGTTTTTACTTAGCTGAGAATTCCCCCATTACTGACTTACCATGCCTTGTTTTGCACTATGTCTTTGTGTGGAGGGGGCCATCTTGGTATCTTGGTAGTGGCAGGGCTTCGCTTCCTCAGGTCAGAGCCTCCAGCGAGGAGAACAGTGGGCTTCACAGCAGTGACCCCACAGATCCTCTCACTCCAAATCTCCTTAGACTAGAAGTCAGAGGAGTGCCTTATATCTTACACTGCATATATACAGCTATGAGATGTAGGGACATGAGTGCTTAGTCCTTACATACCAGAAGTTCACTGCTATTTTATTTGGAGGAATTCAAGACAAAAGGTAGATTTTTCAGAGAACTGCTTGGGCAGAATTAACATTTGTAAATGTTCCCTATAACAAAGCACATCTTCACCCTTTGAGTTCAAGTCACTTTAAAATGACCCTGTCAGAGGGCCAACAAAGTTACAAAGGCACTACCCTGTGAATAAAGCAATGTTATACATACCTGTCAGTCGGCTCATTTTCTAAAACTGTATTCTGTAGCAGACCAACCAGCAATGATCAGATTTGACTCCTGGAGCTGATCACAATGCTGGTCCACCCACTGACCACTGTGGTTCCTACTGATAACTCATAGTCACTGCAGGACACAATAGTGAGGTAGGGGTTATCTGGCAGAACCACAGTGGCCCGCGGGGGACACACTCTACTACAGAGCCAAGTTTTAGCAAATGGGTCAATGGATAGTTATGTGTAGTGCTGCTCTCTTCTAAGGTAGGTAAAATATGATGTCCTTTGTGGAGCAGGGATGTCTTTTTAGGAGTAGCCATGGAAGAAATAATAACAGGGGAGAAATGGTTCAAAAAATATACTGTATACAGTCATGTGAAAAAGAAGGTACGCCCTCTTTGAATTCTGTGGTTTTAATTATCAAGACATAATAAAGATCATCTGTGTCTTAGTAGATCACAATTTAAAGTCCATCATGCTACAGCGAGGAAGATTATTCACAAGTGAAAACCATTCAAGACAGTTGCCAATCTTTCCAGAAGTGGATGTCCCAACCACCACTCAATAAATATAAAATGAATGAAGATTCACTGCATCATCAGGACTTTGAGTCAATCAAGCCTACAACACCCACAACTTCATGGGCTCCTCTACAACAGACATCCACAACAGGTTTTTTCCACTAACCTCCTGTTCTCAGGTAAGTAACTTTGTTGACACCCTGACAGGGTCACTTTAATAAGTGAACGGTATCTATTCCATAAGTGGATCAACTATTAATGTCAGTATGTCACAAAGTTCTTCCAAACTCCTACAGAATGCAGTAGACGGCTCTACTCATAGTGATAGAAGGGTCCTGATAAACCTGATCCTACCATTTGAAATAAAAGCCAACAGCAGTATTGCAATCATTTTATATTGCAGAATTTACAATTTCATTTGGAAAACTTTTGCAGATGTAATTTCTGAAGTATTTTAAGACACCCATCACCTCATTATAGCACGTGTCAAATTCTTCTGCCATTGCGCATGTGACTCACCAAACACAGTCTAAGGATATATGTTGGTTTTTTTTTGTGGCTGCGAGCGCTCTGGTGCTCATTTGTGTTATATACATACATGGACTCCGAAACCTTGGAATCAGCATGTCAAGCTTTCATTGCTTATAATTAAATCATCAGCTTGGAATTTATTAGCAAATAGTATTGTTCTTATGAAGGATTAATAAACCCTAATTGCCAGTTGTTCCTGTATGAGTAGCATATCTGCATAAAATACCTTTCCATGGTTTGTAGGAACTTGTAGATGTTTATTATGCAACTTGTTGGCTTAGTAATTAGCATTGTAGCCCTCATTTTCTGTCGTTCCAGGTTCAGTTATTACCTGTATGGTTTTTGTATGTTTTCTGCTCACACAACAAAAACATACATTTATTATACTATATTGCAGTGTATCAGTCTTTAGATGTGTTTTCTTTTTCAGGCTTCTTTTTCCCTTTTTTACACCTGGTGATCCTGCCAGTAACACATCCTGTGCCTGGGTGACAACACTCACTTACTCTACTGTATCCATGAAGAGCTGTGTTGGCACCCTAGGGCAGAACATGTGTTAGGACCACAGAACACCTCTCCCTCTCCTCCATAATTATACCCATAATTAGGGGAAGGGGTTCCATGGTCCACAGAGAGCTGGAAACAATGCTAACTGACAATAGACAACATGCACTAAGCACAGGAACCTCTCTTGGTTTTAAGGGATAGGAGGGTGTAGTTCTGCATAAAATAGCAGTTAACCCTCGCAGTGTGTGTGGGCGGGTGGATGCGGGAGACCACTGCAAGGGTAGATGTTGTCTAATTCCCAGAGTTCAGCTTTACAGCTGTGATAAACCAAGAGCAACTAGAGAAGTCCATAAAAGCAATGCATACACCAATGGTGAAGGTTAAAGTGTAGTAAAAGCTTAAAAGTTTAAGTTGAAACTACATAAGAAACCAATTACAAGAAACTGTACTCATCTGTAATGAAGACAAGCCAGCATTAGATATTGCTGTTATAAATCAACAATTTGCTCTTTGTCCAACATTTCAAAGCCTTGTAGTGTCCATTTCTTAAGATACAGGTAAGACAAGAGGAGTACTGATGATGGTGACCCCCTTGGTCATTGCTGAGTACCACAGCTATCTAGTACAGATTATGTTTAGTATTCTTGTATTAGAAGGAATTGTCCTAGAGTTTAGGAAAAATACCAACGTGTCAGTCCCTTCCATGCTTACCTGCAGTCAGCTGTAGTATGACAATATTCCCACTATAAATTCTGAACCATGTCGATATATAGAAGTCATAGAATTGCTTATGGACGATGCCATTGAGACAAGTGACAACTATTGGTTTTCTTCCATGTGATTACTGCACCATTTTTAAATCTTCTGTTCTGATTTTCGCCTGAAACTTTTTTATCAATCAATAAACATTATCAAAACTATTTTTTACATGAATCAGTTTGCAAAAATGTTACTTATGTATGGTGCTCTGTTAACACTTTACATATCTTTAGTAAACCCCCTTACATCATTGTATATCATTCAGGAAAAGTACTCACGTAAATCCATGACACAGGGACTCAATGCATATCAATACCCGAACGCTGTCACGTGGGCGCAGTTGTCCCTTACTCTTCACTTCACTGTGATCTATAAAACAAAACAAAAAGTTCAGTAAAGTTTAGTGGTTGTTTATCATATACCCCAACCAAGTATTGTTCTGTATCAGGACCAAAATAACTTGTTCATATATCTAATTTCTCTACTCAGGAATTTAAAGTGTACGTATAGCTAAACTATTTAATTGTAGTTTTAGGGGTAGGCAACCTTGGCACTCCTTCTGTGGTAACCCTACATATCCCATCATATCTCTGTCTCTGGGAGTCAAGCCCGTGGCTGACCAATGCCTCATGGGACTTGTAGGTTCACCACAGCTGAAGTACAGAGGTTGCCGTCCCCTGTTTTAGATTAAATGTTTTGTAATGTGGAGTTACTAATTTGAATTTGTTTTTTTTTCCCTTCCCTCCCTTTTAATATTTTTAGCTTCATGCTGATATACAGTATGTGTGTATATATGTATACATATTGCTTCTTGAATAATTTTATAATATTGTTTTAGATAAGCAATACAAAATGACAAAGGTTCTAACATGTTTCCACTCTCCTACTCAAAAACTAAAAACAAAAGTTTATTTGTTGCAGTATTCCTGCATTGGAGACTAATCTGCATTCAAGACTTTCCCCTCATTTCCTGCGCTGTTGACTATACAAGGAGGGGAGATTTCTGCAACTGGGATAAGGAAAGCAATAATCGCCTAATGGGCTGTAGATCTGGCTTGTCAAACTGTTGTTTTTGGGGGCCTTATGTGGTCTTCTTTGTTCTGTCCTTGAGACATGATAGAGATTTGAAAACATGATTTATGAAAACAGGAGCAAAAAAAAACCTGCTCACCAACCTATGTGAATATGGGCTGAAAACTGGTAAATCCCTGGAATGGTAGCTGTGAAACGACCCAGTGGCAGATTCATTCCAGAACCCCGAAGAAAGGCGCCTTTAGCTGCTGGCTGAAGTCAAATAACAGAAAAATACAAATATTATAAAGATGTGGACTGTCAATTTAATAAGTGATTCACCCAATGTTTCCAAGTCTATTCAAGCTGAAATAACATGTGTCAGAGATGCTTATAACAAGGAATGAAGGTGAGTAAAGGATAAGAAATGATACCAGAAATTTCTAGTAGTGAAACTTAAGGTAAGAGTTATATTTGTACATTTTTATAGAAGGTATATGGGTCATATTTGTAGATTTGTATAGAAGGTATATATATGTGTGTATATGGGATGTTCATAAGAGAATTCACTTTACTTTGCTCTGGAGACATAACAGGAAGAGAAAATCTCTCCAAAGAGAGCGAATTTCCCCGCTTAAACAATTGTCTCCAATGAAAGATTGCCATCTCCTGTGCATGTGGCAATACCAACATTTTGGATTTCCCATCACTTTCTGTACAGGAGACAATGGCCAGGCAAACTTTCAAACTTTCTAAAAATATTTTTTAGGAAATTACCAAAAACGATTATACTTTGAAGGAGAAGTATGGAATGAGTGAAATACACTCATCCCCATAATTAGAGCCGACGTGTAACACCGCAGCTGTCACACGTCGGCTCTATTGATCGATAACTAAGCGATTAAATACCGCTAAACGCTCAAATCACAATCTTCTCCTCGCAGGAATTACCCCAGGCACAGCTGACTCTGCCTTTAGAGAGGCAGAGCAAGCTGTCAATCAGGCAGCAGGGTGGATCTTTGGGGGTCTTTGGAGGCTGCAGCACGGCTCTGCACTGTTAGAATATAGCAGGCAATAACCCTCTATATGCTGAGTTTTGGGTCACAGGAATACATAGTAAATGTCCTCCTGTGACCCTCTAGAGAAATACGGTCAAAAAGGTTTGACCATATTTATCTTTTAAGAGGAGTAAAGAACAGCTGAGCCCCCATCTTGTGTGGACTTTATGGCTAGGGGTCTCCTCCACCTGATCTAATGTTAACCCCTCACAATTCATATGTGTTTGGTAACAATGAGAATTGTCAAATCAGAGCCAACCCATTTACATGCATCAGGGGATTCGATGTCAGGACTATCAGGACAGCATGTTTGAAGGAACATTTCAATGGTAAGTAAGCCTGATCTTTGTACACTCATAGTTCTACAATGTACATGCTGTTCTTCAGCGTTACATGTGACTCCCAATTTGTAAACTTTAGATGTCCCTTTTTATTATATCTTACCATCTGAAAGTTCTGAAGTTCTGCCAATGTTCTCTTGTCCACAATGACAGACCCTTTAAGCCGACAGTGGAATGCTTCATCTATCCTTCTGTATGGATAGAGATCCTTGATAGGGAGCAGTAAAGGTGGAGGCTCACTGGTGTGTTCTGAAGCATCACCAGACACTGTCCGACGATCTGTGGCCTCTTGTGGGAACAAGAAGATACTAATTTATTATTGCTATACAACAATGGAGGAAAGCAAAGTAAGGTTGTATTAAGCATACCCACCCTCACACAAACAGACAATCTCACAGATACCACTGAACTGACCTACTTTGCAGGTCAGATTTGAAAATTACATGATCATCCAAAATTTTGTTGGGCTACTTGGATCTGGCAAATCCAGGGATGGAGGGTTTACAGCTGTCAATGTATTTAAGTAGGCAACAAAGCATATCTGTGCTGAGAGAAATGTGTAAGCTGCCATCGATGACCTTATTCTGAAAATGCTAGGTGTTTAGTTTCACCTGGCTTCAATACCTTCTCAGTTACTTGCTCAATACATGTGTTCTTTAAATGGCGTGGGATAAGTCCAAAAAAGGACTGGGCCGGGGAGGGGGGCATTTGCCTCCTAACCCAGTTCAAATGAGATATAGTGGGCTCGTAGAGAGTGGTGATACCTCCACATTTAGATGTTGATCAGAGCTATCAGTCAGTGCCAACTGCTGGGTTTTATATAAATACCTGCGCTCTTTGCAAACCTGCCATCACTGAGCGAAGTCTTCCAGAACCAATTTAATTTTTGGTTCTAAGATACAATGTGACTGAATGTGGAGAACCACAAAGTAAGTTGATGCTGGAAGACTTTCCTATGTCAGGTGCAGTGAGTGCAGGTCTGAACATGGAACAGCCTGGTTATATATTGCTCCTGACCGTAGTCCAAATGGGGAGCATTTACTTATATCTTTCTACATATATACTGTGTGTATATATATATATATTTATTTATATATATATCTCCTGATTCCCCCACCATATATTCTGTATGGGATTGTTGTTCTACAAACAAGCAAAGGATATATATTATTTGATCACAGTCCAATCCCACTGGCTTTTGCCTTTAGATACAATTTAAGCTTTGGTGAGATATAAATGCATGGAGAACCAAAGATCTATAGGGATAGTGCTCATAGGCTTTTGGGGTCATTTAATGTCACCTTGAGGTCAGTTTGTGTTTTTATTGACTCATACAAGACAATGCACATGCACGACAAACGCACAGTTAACACATAACAAAAGCATCTCAAAGTTATTTCCATTAGCATTCTGATTGGTGCTACTTCATCTGTCCGCTCCAATCACAACAAAACTACAGATTGTAAGGTCAGAAAAGTCAAGCTCTCTTGAATGATTTCCCACAGGCCTATAACTAGCAAAAACATTGATGGATCAGCCATTGTCTAAGCCATCCTGAGGCCAAGCTTTCCAACAGCCTTTATGCAGGAGAAACATGAACAAAGAAAGGGTGCTCTTTCATGGGCCTTTATAGTAAAAATCCTAATCCTGAACAAAAAAAAATATCTTTGTTTTTTTTTAGGAGGTTTACTAGTCTAGTTACTAGTTGGATTTCTCTTTGGATAAACTAAAAACCTCTTTGAAATATATAAGGAGTACAGACCATACTATAACAAGATAGCTCTATTTACCTCGGAGCATCTGTTTAAACTCTTGCAGCAACACTTCATGGGTGACCTCAGCCCCTGGCATTCCTGGAGGTCCAGGGGGACCTTGTGGTCCTGGGGGGCCAGGTGGCCCAGAAAGTCTCTGATGAAGAAATACAATAAATTAACAAGTACATATAGGTAGACACATGGCCATGTAACAGTCTGAATATGTTTAAACATTAACCATTGAAATATAAACTCATTATTCATTAAAGACATTCCTGGGTTATCTTTGTAATTTTTAAAGTGGAACAGTCAGTAACTTTAACGTTTGGTAGGAATAACTAGCTGACATACCGCAATATACAGCAACAGTACTGTGTATCAAAATAACTGTACCTTTTACCCTAAAAAGCCATCCTTGAGCAATAGGCAAGTCATTTTGCCTAAGCTGAGATGGTGTAACGAGTCTGCTGCAGGCAGGAAGAAGCATTTCCTCAGTCTCCTCCCCTCGAGTGATCAGCCTATAACAGGGGTGGACAAATTCATATTGAATTCATTAGCCAGTCTGTCCAATCCAGGAGCTGGCAGGATCTTTTTAGGAGCCAGTTCCATTGACAACAACTAGAGAAATCCTCAAATGTTGGGAGCCAGCTTTCATTTTTAGGGAGTATTGGCCACCTAGCTCCTGTGATGCGTGAAGCCCTGGTCAATAATATTGCAACTTTATAGTAAGTCACAAGAGAGGCTGCAGCAGGAAACTGATCTGTGTGAGATCAAAGCCAAAAACTGCACAGGCACCAGGATTTATATGACTGTAACTCCGTGGCCAACATCTCGGTCCAAAAAGTAGATCATGACCCTAGACAATGCCTGAAGGCATTGTAAGGGGATTAGTGTGATACATTTGGGAGGTAATAAACACCAGCAAGTGTTTTCCTCTTATGTCCATTTACTTAACATAAAACTATGTATCTGATTCAAGGTCTGCTTTAAGATAATTTAGTATGGATTAGTCTAACAAAAAGCTTAATTAAGGTCATTACAAGCCATACCGATTGACATCACACCACTAAACAAAACAGCAGTTCCAGGAAAAAAAATTAAGTCAATCAGTAAATTACTGATTCTATCCAATCTATGTATCCTTGGTCTGAGTTTTACATACTCCTCTTACATGGGCCTTTGTGCCATATTTGATGATGACCCTCATGATTCTGCTATGTGCAGTTTCCCTGTCATATCTTTATGAAAGACAGTAAGGGGCCATCAGTGGGTAGGTTTGGGAATAACTGGCCTACATGTCCACATATGCCTTGGGAATAGGTGTTATTGCTGGAGTATTATATTTTTAAACAACATGGTGATCCTAAGCAATGGGATAACCTAAATAAAGCTTCATAGCTTTGCCCTAGTGATAAACATCAGTACTGTTCATGTAGGCTATGCTTCCAGGTCAATTTGCCATTTTTAATTGAATTTGTCTTATACAGTTCTGCTACTGGGCCCCCTTTTTAGAGGAGTTTGGGGTATATATAGAATATATATTTATGATGACTACTAAGTCCGACTTTATTTAATTATTAACAGAAGGATAACAAGGTGATACTTACAGAATTCTTGTTACATTTACATTTCTTCTTAATAGGCGTCCCATTATCAATTCGGTCTCTAAACTCGACCCATGTTGTTGCAGGATCTGGTTTTTCAGGACCTGGAGACTCAGGCAGCTGCATTGGAAACGTAGGGAAATATTATCTACCAATCCAATCATTTCTGGAACGCCAGCTGCATTCATATACATCAGTATCTTATAATGCCAGCTGAATGACCATCGCCAATTTATGGTGCCTTAGATGTGGTGGCTGCGTAAGTTCTCTTTTATCAGGCTTTTTTCTTTATTTTCACCTGATGATCCTGCCAGCGACACGCTTCCTGTCCAAGGGTGACAATACCCATTTACTATGCCCGTATCTATGGATGAGCACTAGACTGCTTTCCTGATATGGACAGCAAACACCTCCCCCTCTCCTCATCTCAATTATTGAAGATAGCCGGATAAGCTAATTGCATTGTTTGAGATTTCAGTGCAATATGGGAAATTAAAGGGATACTGGTTTTCAGGATCAACAGGAATATTTCTGTACTTAAATGCTCTTAGCCTGCAAATAAAAACCACTAATGAAGCCACCACTTCTAAGGGGTGCAATATATACGTTGTATTACATTTTTATTTGTGAGTTTCGATCAGGGCCGGACAAATCCCAGAGGCCATGTAGCCAATGCTCCTTAAAAGTTGCAGCCTAACTATTGAGATTTTCTCTGGTTGTTGTCAAAGGAGCCGGCTCCTAAACAAAATCCTTCTGGCTCCTGGATTGGACAGGCTGGCTCCTGAATTCTACAAAAATGTGTCCACAAATTACATATACCATAAATATCACCATCAAAACATTACCATTATTACCAGTATGAGTACCACCCACCTACAGCATTATTATCCAACCAGGATCTACATAAAGCCCTAGTTAGGGTTAATATTCTCTCGTCAGCAACGTTACGTTTAGAATATTTTACCAATAGCGGGGAAGTGTAAAGGGCCATATACAGTATGTGGGTATTTGGGTTACAGCAAAACCATCATGGGGCCCCTTGCTTCTTTGTAGCCAGATAATGCTGGGCTCCGTGCTTCTGGGCCCCATAGCAGTTGCATGGTCTTCTGTGGCTATTGTTACACCCTTTATAAAAAAACAATGCGAGATTAAAAAACAATGCAAGATAGAGCTATTGGAGGAAAAATGCAGTCTTATTTTTTTTAACTGAACAGACCAGCAAACAAGTAAAAGGAGAAATGGTGTCATGTATTGTAAAGGGCCTCCAGACTCCTCTGGACACATCTTTCAGAAAGGCAGCCCATCAGCCAACTGAAGGAGCACACACAGTAGGCTGACAACGCTGATGCCAATGTAAAGGCAGTGGACTAGCGCTGTCAACCTGCAACAGGAAGTGCTGTTACTTGCAGGATCCACTTTGCAAAAGATTAATGAGGAAGAATTTGCTTAGGAAAACTGTATACAGTGGAGCAAGATGCCAAACCTGTTGAAATATAAATCTAGGGTTTACATAGACTTCAACACAAAGAGGCTGATATGTAAATGATCCACCCTGCGTATAGCTGGGCGAACGCCGTTTGCAGGGCACCAGCACCACTAGATGACACTAAGGAGCATAAGAATTCCTGTGCTCCTCGCCGCCATCTAGAGGAGCTTGCGTCATGCAAACAGCACCCAACCAGCATATAGTGTGCCCAGCATATAGTGCATATCAGACCCTAAGCTTCATGGGCCTGTCATATAGTAAGCAAAAAGTGTCCCCGTTCTTTGGTAGCATAACAGTAGAAAACCTCTGTTCAATATTTTTTTTTTTTTAAATGATCAGATTGGTTAAACAAAGCACCGGTCTGACAACCTAGCAAAGCTGCTTCATGTTAGCACACTGGGTAAACAATCAGCCAATAGAAACACAGTTACTAATGCTTTTGTTATTGGACAATTACACTTACTGGAAATCACAGCCGTTATGGGCATGTCATTTTTGCGCCAAAGGTGCCTAGAATGCCATTCACGCCCTAACGATCTGGCATAGAGCTTAAGTATAAATAGTCAATAGAGATGCCGGACCCGCTAGCGATGACATAACGCTGAGCCACGTCTCTAGATCAGCTGGTGATGGGTAAAGTTTAACGGATAATATATTACATCTCTGCTGCTCAAACACCTTTAAATCTTGCAATATGTATTTGTTCCTCCTGCTCCAGTAACCCCCTCTTATGCTCCTACTAGGTAATCAGTCCCAGGGTTAGGCTTCGGAGTCTGGCCTAGGAGAGGTTAAAGATCTCGGCACAGGCTCGATATTACAGAAGTGTGCTTTCCCCATTAGCGAAATGAGGGTGTGGTGAGCTATGCGCCAGCCACACTTCAAACAGGATGTAATAAAACACAGCAATGAGAATAATAGCCATCGGGCAAGACCACTGTGCTTGTAAAAATGTCCATTTTATTTCTAATAATAAAGAAGTGAAAAGTGATTTCTTGTAGTGAGGCAAGGAACGACAGTTAGGCCAAGATTCAGCTTATGCAACCAGCTTAATAAGGAAGGCAAACTGGAATGTAATTATAAAGGGTGGAGAGGTGCACCTACATCTAGACCCTTAGGTCAGGGTGTCCAATCATATATTTTTCTTCTCTTCATTGAAAAGCTGTGTGCTTATGTTATATTCTATTCCCTTCACATCGCTCATTTCTCTGCTCTTTGAGCCTCTAATAGCGATATTAGGATATAAAATTTGACAAACATTTGCCAAATTTTCTTACATTTTCTCATTGGCAAAAGAGGACAATGGAAGGTTTTTACATGAGAGCAGCTTCTGTATGGGTGGCCTCTAATGGAACCTGTCATAAGAAGCAGCCATTGCTCACTTCTCCTTTTGAAAGTACAAGATGCCTAGCTGTCAAGCTGACCTAGCTGGCCATATACCTTAAGATTTTTATCACTTGGCCCCGTGGTGCAAACACTTGATTCACCCAGCCACGCTAAAAACTGTAGATGGAAGAATCTACCCTGGCAGCTACTGTATTGTATCTGAACAGCGACGGCAGCTGTAAAATTGAATTTGTTAAGCCCTGGGTGGTGCCAGCTCAGTCACCTGCAGATCGAATTTCAGCCAATTCAGCAGGAAACAACCGAAATTCTATCCGTGTATGGCCATCTTTCCATGTTGAGTCCCTGACACAGAACAAATATGCAGATAAGGACTTCTAATGGATCATTTGCACTATTTATGGATGTGCATTTTGGAATTCCTGTGGCAGGAACCTACTAATTCCTGTGGCAAAATCCAAATATGGTGTTTAGAAGCAGCCGCTGTCACCCATTCGAATTAATGATTGGGTGACAGTGGCCAAATTTGAAAGCGGCAATATGTGATACAATTACATGCAGTTAGAAATAGATCACTATCCCTGGACACACAATAGATGCACTCATGGACAGTGATCCATTCCAAACCGAATGTAATCACATACAATTACATGGGCAGTGCCATCGGACTGCCACTTTCAAATGCAGCCACTCTCACCTGATCTATAATTTTACTGGGTAACAGCGGCCGCCTCAACACGGCATATTTGGGATCTCTGCCGCAGGAATCCCAAAACACACATTCACACCTATGTGTTAATGAAAGCCTAACTCTCCTCTGACTTTCCTGATCTCCATACTTGCTCCAGGTCAGTAACTTAGCAAGTATTGAAGCCAGTGGTCAGCAGAAGAGCCAAACAACTAGCATTTTTTAGAGGGAGGTGAGCAATAGTTTTCTTAAGTGAGGTTTACTTTAAATGTAGAATTTTAGCTGGTACATTTGTTAAAGCACTTTGTATCAAAATCTCTTACCATTAAAAAAATAATAGAATACTTGTCTTTTCCCTTTTATTCATCCTTTGTTGTTGTAGCCACTTACTGTCCATATGCACTCCAGTGATGGCTGCATGGAATTTCTCAAGGTAGGCTTCCTGATGGTGAACAGTGGATCATGCCTTTGTAAAGTGTGTAGAAATGTCAGGTCGTATTCCTCACTGAAAGCCCATATGATAGGGTAACAGAGGCACAATTGGGAGACAGGGTCACCCCATAACAGAAAGTACCTTAACAAGGCTCCTTTGTGGCAGGATCACCAGGTTTTAGTTCAATAAAAAGCTTCAGATTTAAAAAATATTGAACACAACATGTGAAATTACATTAGCATGTTGAAGCTTATAAGAGATTCTAGTGATTGGGTTTACACACGGGCATATTCATGAATCAGTAAATGTGACTTTCTCTAAACATTCACTGATTGTGAATCAATCACTGTAATTTAAAACACATGCAGCAGGTAGATTCACCTCCAGTGAATGTTTGGTGAATGTCAGATGCACTGCTTTATAATAATGCATGTCCTCCCTGTGCTTGTGTGGGTTTACTTTGGGTACTCCGGTTTCCTCCCATACTCCAAAGAGATGTTGGAAGGTTAATTGGCTCCTGCCTATACTGGCCTTGTATATTTGTGCTATAGGAACCTTAAAGTGTAAGCTCTTTGAGGGCAGGGACTAATGTGAATATGCAGTATGTAAATCGCTGTGTCGTCACAAGGGGGGTGCGGGCCGCACCGGGTGACACAATCAGAGAAGGTGATGCCAAAATGACTGACAGTCATTTTGGTGTCACCCCCTCTGAAAAATCAGACACTCGGCCATGGACTGAGAGCCCAACATCTGCACAAGAGAGGAGGGGACCCCTGCGACATACCTTATCCCGCCAGATGAACATCCCCTACTCTCTCTGCCATCGTCCATCACCGAGATGGCCATCACCGTTTAGGTGCGGCCACTGGGTATCACCCGGTCTGAGGAGGCCCCTGGTCTAAAATATTTAAATACCTGTAATAAAGAAATAAAATAAATGTCCCTTTTAGGGCTCATTCATACAGCCAGCTGCTGGTTCCTGGTTCCTGTACTCCGCCCAACTCAGTGTAATTCTAGGGTGGCCACAGCAAGATGTTTATGTTTAGCTGCGGCCGCTCAGCTTGTACAAATGAAAGACAGGCTGAGAGGCTTCGCATGGTCCACATGTATTCGGAAGTGGAGCAAATACCTGCGGTTAAGGACAGATGATGGGCCCTAGCCACAGACATTCT